TAACGAATAATACGAATACTCAATAATAGAAAATACGCTTCAATTTTAAAATTTTCTGATAGAAAAGTGATTCTAGTTGGTATGGGATAAAAATTAAAACTTTTCAGTAGTTTCTTTATTAGGGAGAATGAAGATATATTAAATTCTATAATATTTATATTTTTTTTATTAAATTCACTACTATCATCGACTATCATTATTTTTTTTTTTTAGTTCTATATTCTATCTAGGTAACTTTCAAATTGAGTGATTTACACCAATGTTTTTGTTTTTACCTCGCGATTTGTTTTATACAACTATTTTTTTAATTCTGTAATCCATAATATCTTTAATATGCTGCGTACTTAAATATAGTTAAATTTTATTAAAAATGAAAGAAGATGTAAATTATAAGCCATAATTAAAGAAATATGTGAACACTTTAGAAGTTTTATAAATAGGTGTCATTATTGCATATAGTAAAATATAATAATATACATACCAATTTCGAGTCCACATGAATATATTTGAATTTCAATAAAATAACTATACTCTAAATATAAACTACAAATGTTAATAAAAAAAAAAATGCATTTTATATTTTTAAAGTATTTAGGTTTTATCAAAAACTATTGTGTATGAAGAAAATTAAAAATTAATTAATAAATAATAATTATAGGAGGCAGCTATATAATTATTTTACTATCCTATTTAATTATCATAAATTAGTAATAAAATAAATATCATAATTTTTTATTCTGAGTAGGACGAAAAATATATTGGTGTTTCAATTATGTAGTTTTTTATTATTTGTTATAAAGCTCGCTTTAAGTAGAAAATTTGGTTGATATTTTAGGAAGTTATAAATAGAAAATTTTCAGTACTTTTCTTACTAATTGAGGAAAATCAAAAAAAAAAAATAAATAAATATATTATGATAAAACTAAAAGATTTGTATAAAACATCTACAATTTTTAAGTAATTGAAGTTTAGAAAGGAATAACCGTGGTAGGAACTTAATATTTTCACAAAATATTAATATTAATATTTTTTAGACGTGATATATTTTTCAATATATTTTGGATATTTATTGATACATAAAATGTCCTATTTTTTTTCAATAAAATGTTTGCTCCTTGGTAAAAAAAAAAACTTGAAAATAATATATAAGTACTCAGTTTTCTTAAATACATATAAATAAATATAAAAAACACATTTTCAAAATTCTTTCTTATAAAAGCGACTTGTTAAACTAATACATATATAAATAATCTAGCTATAAACTTACGGACATAATGAAAATGTGTGATGAATGCAGTTTTTCTCCATAATTTTCTTCTACATAGTTAAAAAATCTTAATTTTCAGATTTTAAGTATTTATTAATCCTTACTGTCAATATTTTGTCTTCTATTTATCTACATTATACATATAAGTACAAAAAAATAATTATTATATTTATTTATTATAATACCTTACTTTTGAACAAATAATTTATTTTATTAAAATTCCTTACCAAGAAATAATGAGACATTTGACATGCATCGTCTTAGATAGTATTTGTTATTCTATGTCTCCAAAGTTCATCTATCAACGAATTAATTTGCATGTGTACATGTACCAATTCTCAAATATATTTAAAAAATAATGTTTATAAAGTAAAAAACGGTTGACAAAAATATTAGGTAAAGTTAATTAATATTTTTGAAAATACAAGTTAAAAATTTTTTAACCTAAATAATAAATAAATTGTCTTATCATACATAATTTGCAAACAAATTCAAACGCCGACTAATATTCTTTAATACATGTCTTATGATATGAATTATTGTCAACATTTATAAAGCTCTTATGACATTGTAGAATACCTGAATACTATAGAACGTATAGCTAAGTTTTAAACTTTATAATTTTTACAACGTAAATCTAATGATGAAAAATTAGGTATTTTATTTTTGTGTATTACACGTGTATACAAATTTATATAATATTGTGAAAATTAAATTATAGTGAAATAAATGTTTGTATTATACACATTTTATACGGTATATAAATTATAATTTTTTATTAAAAGGTATGCAAATTTGAAATTGTACACAAAACTTAGACTTGATTGCTTAATCATTTCCTGTTTACAAACTGAATCATATTGATAAAAACTAAAGAAATTAAAATTAAAAATAATAACCAATGGCTAATAAATTATAAAGTAATTGATAACGATTTTAATTAACATAAAGTAAAATACTTTTGCTTTCTTACTATTGTAGTTTTGAAAGTTACAATTTTGTTGATAAATATAAAATATTTAAAAAATTACAATTTTACTAAACTAATTTAACACTGTTGTATAAAATAATTCTATGCAATGTGTATGATACGATATTACACATTTTTATTATACAAATTAATATATCTTCATCTTGGTTTCCATTGAAGTAATAGCATTGTGTCATTATAAAAAAAAAAACATTTGTCAATTGGTTATATTTTGTCCTCTAAACTAGTCATTAATCTTAACACTGATCAATGGTCACGCCGGTCACAGTAAAAATAAAACATTGTAAATCGTAATTCTTCTTGATTGACTTGCAAATCATAAAATATTATTTAAAAATGAATAATATAAGATTCGTTTATAGACAGCGTCATCTAGCGGAAAAACATTTCGACATTCATGATTAGTTCTTCACATACACGTTAAAAATTTTGAACTAACGCCAATTGTCAACAGCAAGATTTATAATCCACCTTGGACGACAGCATGTGCTGAACTTGGACCATAGACAACAAATTAAATGAAATTATATTCACGTATGTACTCATGAATATAGTTTCATTTAATCTGTTAATTAACCATTAGTTATAATTTATGACCACAGAATACCAAGTACCAATGATCCTAGACCATATTATATTTATATACCTACCAACAGTACCAACTAGTAAATATCCCATCGACTGGTATTGTAACAAAAAAATCTACATAACAACTTAAATGGTTTCAAAAATTTACTTTTCCAATTTCCATTATTAGGTTAAATTAAGTTATACATAAATTATTAAATGATTATATATAAATTATAATTACACAAACAATAAATACAAAATATACTCGATTTATACACGAACTTATTGCTTGACATAATATAAAAATTCTTCGTTCTTTATTTATCTAAATAAAAATTAAATTTTTTCTAAATAGTAAAATTTTAAAAGCGAACAACATTTCATCAAATAAGAGTGTTTGCTGTTAAATAGTCTTACTGTACTGCCATCTATATAGTCACTAATGCCTAGTGGCACCTACTTTCATGATCAGTTAATATTTTATAATCAATATGATATACCTATATAATTATTCAGTAGCGTCTCACAGCAAAAGGCACATGATCACGTTTTCAAACCAAAATATTGAATAGAAAGAAAATGGATTATAAAGAATTAAAATTTTATAAAAGCATAATATTTTATCAATTGTATAATTGATTTAAGTTTATAATTATTGACAATTATCGAAAATAATGTTATCGGATAGGTACTGAGTTGCAAACTATCGATAAATCGTATGATATAATTGTTTAATCCAGCGGTTCCCAAACTGTGCTCCGCGGAGCCCTTGGGGCTCCGCAATGGTTTCCCAAGGGCTCCCCGTTCATTATTATCTGTATGTATACAGTTCGTATTAATTATGCTTCATAGAACACAGGCAATTGCTAATGAACGTTAAATATTTCTTAGGGCTCCACAAGAAACTTTTCTTTATAAAAAAGGCTTCGAGGCTGAAAAAGTTTGGGAACCGCTGGTTTATTCATTTAGATTTAAGGTGAATAAAAGTTAGATTACCGGCAAATTTCCATTGTGTCTCAATCGACTTGAGTATCCAAATAACCAAATGGCAAATACTACATTATATATATATATATATATATATAAATGGGCATTCGTGCTATGTGCGATCTGTCGCACGATAAACATTACTAAATAAATTAACTTGTGACCTACCATATTATATGATATAATATTATATTTTAAAAACTATGTAAAACCTTTATTGAATAATACAAATATAATTAATCTAAATTTTTTTAAATAGCACTGCAATTCTAATTTTATTAATCTAACCGTGCTCTTAACGAATATCCTGTATTGAATCGATAAAAATGTCATCAGATTTATGTATTGATCTGTACCAGGATTCAATTAAAAGACTAAAATAAATAACGTTTGGCGATTCATGCGATGTATTATTCAAAAAATTGTATTTCTTAAATTGACCATAACGATTAGTTTAATGTAAGTATTGCTCAGTAAACAGTAGATTATTATATTACATTTAAAGTTGTGTGATAGAACGCATATTACAATTTAAATTGTGGGGTACTGCGGTAGATCGTACCTATATTGCACGAATGCCGATAAACGACTTTATTATTTGATGTATTGTCGTTTTGTATACAATCGACCACACTGTCAGTACAAATTACACGGTGAGCAGAGAATAGATGAATGCCAGTCTTATTTTTTTACATTTGTATTGTAGTAGTAGTCCGGTCTCCAGCACATTTACATTTTTGATTTTACAACATTTCAAAAGAAATTTTAACGTTTTAATAAGTAGGTACCTACCTACCCTGAGTTGTGGTAATGGTCAATAGGGTAAAATATTTGTACTCTTGCTTAGTGCTTCATCTACTGTGAACCATACTACCTGCCACAATGCCACATAATCGTTTTATAAGTATTAGATTATACTGATTATAGTGTGAACTATGGTCTATGAAACATGAAATAGAATTAAATTTAGAATATTATGTTCTACCGACTTCTACGATTATGGGCCACCAGGCACCAGGTTGTAAGCCCTTAATGTATTTTCATATATTTGTGGTAAACCGTAATGTTGATAAGATAAACGAACCGTTAACACTGTAACCGTGTTGTGGTTCTTATGCTTTGCAATGATTATGCGATTTTGTTTTTTTAGGGTTATGTATAAACAATCTAAGTATTATCAGCACAATTTAATACTAATAATTTCGTATTTTGTAATCTATTCGATATTGACGGTATTAGTGTATTGCTAAACATATTTGGTCTTAGTTGCTTTTCCGGAATATTGAATAGTATTGAAGTGTATTAAGTTTAAAAACGTTTAAAAATTATTGAAAATGTCTCTTCTCAGTCATTGTGGAATTCAAGGTATTCAAGAAAGCGGCATTCATGATATTACAAAGGATGAAGTATCCACTGGTGTAAGTAATAAGTTATTATTAATTTTACAAAATGAATTATTAACACACTTTTTATCTGTCGTTAAATTTGTGTACACCATTGTCCCTTTGTTTAATGTAATTATGTATTATTGTTGAATGTGTAATTAAATCAATTTAATTAATAACTTTTAGACTACCATCATAGCAGCTACTTATGACGGTGGTGTTATAATCGGAGCTGACTCTCGTACTACAACTGGGTAATTAAAAAACTGATGATTGTAACAGATTAATTATTCATTTAAGATACATTTGATTCATGTTTTGATAATTGATATTCCATTTGTATTTTACTTTTTAGAGCATATATCGCTAACCGAGTTACTGATAAGTTGACAAAAGTATGTGACAACATTTACTGTTGTCGGTCAGGTTCAGCTGCTGATACACAAGCCATAACTGATATTGTTGCATACTACATGGATTTAACTAGGTAATTAATGATATATTGTTAAATGAACGTATTAATAATTAAACGAGTTTTTTTCTTAGCATTCAAATGGGTGAACCGCCATTGGTCAGAGCTGCTGCCAATGTGTTTAAAACCCTGATATACGAGAACAGACATCAACTGACTGCTGGTATCATTGTAGCTGGGTGGGATAGCAGATTCGGTGGACAAGTAATTAATATTATATATTATTTTTTAAGCTACTTCTATATACCCTCTTAGAGAAAAAAAAATGTCCTAAACATACAATTTGTATTTAATTAAGTCATTTTAATGTAAATTAAGAATTTTTAAGAATTTGGAGTCTTAAAGTAATAACATAAATATTTAAATTCAAATGTTAGTATATAAAATATGAAACTTTTTTTTATGAAGTTGAATTTATAATAATAGAAATATTTTGACAAAATAAAAAAAAACTTTTACATGTAAAGACACTTTTATATATCTTAATATTAACAAATTAAGTACCTATCTTATTAAAATTGATTTAAAAATCATTTATTAGGTATATTCAATCAACGTGAGTGGTACCATTGTCCAACAAAATATTTCAATTGGTGGCTCTGGTAGTTCCTATTTGTACGGTTTTATGGATTCTCAGTATAAGGATGGAATGTCTCAGCAAGAATGTGAAAATCTTGTCCTTAACGGTATAACAATAGTTAATTTTTGTCTATTACTATTACTTAATTTTTAATATATATTTTTGTTTAGCAATTTCATTGGCAATTAAACGTGATGGTTCAAGTGGAGGTGTTGTGCGTATGGGAATAATAAACCATACTGGTTCTATTCAAAGGAAGTTAGTACTTGGAGACCAACTTCCAAAATTCTATGATAATATCTATGAAGAAAAACCTCAAATTGAAGTATCTGGAGGAGATGCTGCTATGGCTTAAAATTTTTTTTTTTTTTTAATCATGAATTGTTTTGATAATAATATCTATAAATTAAATAAAATTGAATAAATTTAAAACATGTTTTTATTCTTAAATTAATTAACATTAAAATACCTGTTGATTAACTTACGTATAGAAAAAAATATAAAGACTTATTTATTTATTTTATTATTATAAAATTATGATATAATTAATTATAAATATTATTTAAATAATATTTAATTACAAAAAATATGAAATATAAAATATAATAACAATAATAGTATGCAGTATCTGAATAAAGTTATAAAGACCAATTAATGATGATATTTAAAATAATAAAGATGTAAATCATACTCTTTTATCGATTCATATAAGTATTGATATATTTAGTAAACACTATAGAATATAAAGAAAATTAAGTTTTTATATTGTAATTGTAAAAATAATAAGGTGGGAGTTAATTAGTGCAGTTAAATCTGACAGAAATTTGTATGAAGAAATGTCTTTAATAACATTGTTAGTGTTTATAATTCTTATTAAATTAGTCGAAAACAGTAGAGAAATAAGATGATTTGGATAGAATAGGGGAAGTGTTAAGATGAGCTTCTATGTTTTGTTTTAGGACTATGGTTGTGTTTGGAGACTTCACTCGAACATGAGAATTTTAGAGTTAATTGTATGATCCTATTTGCACATAGAGTATATTTTTCAGAAATTTTATAACCTTTAGTATAATAAAGACTATTTATTCTTGTACTTTTTTTATACATTTTTAGTGTTTTATGTGATTGTTACAAATATTTATTATCTGACATATTGAAGATAGTAAATAATAAAATAATATTTTGGTATGAATATGGATTTCAAACTGGAGAAAAAACTATTCATGGTTAACACACTTTGAAATTTGATGTTGACTGGATTACTATATCACCATATCTCAAATGGACATAGTCTAGCTTCAACTAACCTCTACAATTATGCAATTTAAAAAAAAAAAAATTATATAATATAAAATACATAAATTATCATATTAGTTCACTATGTATTATATATTGCATTGACTGAGGAATAAAGGTGGCTTTAGTTGAATAGAATTTATGAAAAGGATTTTTGGATTCAGCTAACAAAACATTAAAAATTTAAAACTACAAGTCATAAAATACATTATGATAAATTATCCTTGATTGCATACTTCCATAAAATGATAAATTCCACCTAATTATTGTTAATATTATAGCATAGGTCCTAATTATTAAGTATAAATACATCGTTCAAGCTTATATAATATGTAACTCTACAATATTAATACCGCAACTTTATGACACTACACTCAATCAATTTTACTTTGAGTGCATGTGTCGTGTTGATAGCTTAATAATTAGTTGACAGTCATAAATATAATTAAAACGTTTGTAAGTATATAATGCCAAAGGCACATGCAGAAATTATTAGCAAGTTATACGATGAACAAATGTACTTAGGCCTCAAAATAATTTCTTCCTAAGAATAAAAATGGTAATAATAAAAAAAATTTTAAATTGGTAAATAACTTTATGGTATAATATGTATATTTTAAGCTCAATTTACCTTTTCATCAGTATAAAGGATTTAAATTCTAAATTTTTAATATTAACTTTGGATATAATTTGCTGTTCAATAAATATTAACATATTATGTGGATTAAGACAACCTTGTGTCATTATGCTCTAAGTTTGGGTTGCACAAAAGCTAATTTAAAAAATTTATACTCACATGAATTATATCAATTTATGAAAATATTTAGTAAAAGTTCAATAAAATATATAGTTTTGTCACTTTCTGCCAACCAATTTAACTACATCATAATTATTTTATTTGACATATATTATTATCTTATTGACTGCTGTCTGCAAAACGAAAAGTACAAATTTTATTTTAGTTTAGTAAATAACAATTATTAAGTCTTCTAAAAATCATCCTATTTGATGTGAGAAATGAAAAAAGAAGACATTTCAAAACTTACTAAATAAAGTGTTAAAAAAAAAAAATAAATAAAATATTAAATAGCCGATCAAGTGTAAGTATAAAATCAATTAATTTGTTTAGAATATTTTACCAGCAAATAAATTATGCTAAGTCCCATAATATGAAATTTAAATGTTTAATTAGTAACCAATATTGATAGCTCGTCACAAGCAATTTTATTTAACGCTTCATTTTAAATGTCATAAGTGAAGTTTTTGTAAGACTGATTACTAAACTTAGCATAGTTTTTAATTTGTATATATGCTGTTGTAAATATATCTTAGCTCTACGTGAAGAATTGAATTTTGAAGGCAATACCTAAGTGAATTGATGAAATAATAACAAATTCCGCTGTCATAATTAGGTTACCTATTTTTTTTTAATTAAGCTTCATTATAGTCTTAAAAACTAAATTTAGGTACTTCATTAATTTAAAACTTATACTTTTATAGTTGAGATTCCAGAAGAATTAAACAAATTTAATCATACAGATGTACAGATGAAGAATTTATGATACAATTAACGTCTGAAAATAAAAAAACTATTACAATAAGTGTTGACATCTATAATAAACATAATCTAACCTTTAAAAAAATGTATCATTATAATATGTAAATCACTCTTTAGTCTTTAGCAATATTTTAATTTTTTTTTTCAAGTTGTTGTATTTTTTTTTTTAGATTTATTTTCATTTATCTAATAATATGGTATTATTAAATATATAAATTTATATTATATATTAAATATATATCTAGGCACTAAATACTAATATATTTTATGTATTTATTTACAACAATCAATACTGAAAAATTGTTTTGATTATTTTATCACATATTTTTTAAAGTTAAAAATAGCTATCAATGTTTAACTGCTTATAGGGTTACTTACTTTGACCTAATATTTATTTTTACATTTCATTCAGCTAAATGGTACCCATACCAGCTAAAGTTAAGCTATTAATGTTCTGAAAAAAAATTGATAGGATTACATTAGGTAATAAATAGATTTCTTTAAAAAAATTAATTAGTTAAATTAGTTATATAATAATAATAGGTATATATTATTCAGAATTCAGATCAAAAATAACATTAAATTACACTTCAAATTATCACGACAAAAATGTAATGCAATTTTAATCCAAAAAATATTTTATAATGACTGATGACCCTATAAAAAAGTAAATAGGTACTTATATTATTACTTATTATAGTTTACTAAATCATATATAAATATTGAAATATTAATTTCAATATTTTCACTTAGATATTATAATAAATAATATATTTTATCCAAGGTTGTACATAGAATAATTATAACACAATCTTTCTATTTACAGATAATAAATATACTATATTTATAGCATAACACATTTATTCAAGTTCAAGTCAACCAATTCACCCTGATAATTCTGTTAGTTGTTTACCAACTATTCACCTTTAAATAATTCAGAACAAGCTGATAAAACTGTCTTTAAAATGGGTTTTAGTTACCTACTAACATGTGACATCTACAAATTTCAAAACTCATCAGATTTCTAAATCACACATTATCTATACATTTTTTTATCGATTAATAGCTTTTTAAATTCCCAATTTGTAGATAGATATTGCATTAAATAAATATCAAGACGAGAAGAACAGAATAATACTATTAGAAATATACATAATGCATCGTTTGAAGGACAAAGGTTGATAGGTATCTCTTAATTTTGAATAATTATCTATCTGTATTTGTTATTTGGATGAAGTGATTAAAATTACCCCGGGGAAATTGTTATTGGATTTAATAATGACTTCAGTTAATAATTAATACTCTAACAGATGCAGTTAATCATGTATGTAGATTGTTGATCTAAATTGGCAATCAATTATTAAATAATAATATTGTTTATTTTAATGGCACGGCAACGTCTGGCGTAATTTCAATGGATTACAAGCCAAAGTGCAAGTTATTTCTTATCCAAATATTGTGTAGGTACTAGGTATGTTCATTACATGCAATGCTAAAATTTAGTTCTTATAGATTCACTGAGAAAAAATACCATATAATATTTATTTTTTTTTGGAATTATTTAAATTATCTTTAGTCTACTGAAAGACAGCCCTGTAAAACACGTTATTTTAGAATGCGTACTCAAAGAAATGGATGGTAAGATTTTTAGTTTAATATTATTATTGAAAACTCTTTTAACCACAAGTTAGATTTGATAATTCAAAACCCGTCAAGTGATGAAAAATAACATCAAGGTAATAGGTACTCTATTGTATGGCAGAAATTTCTAAGACAATATATTTGCACTTCACATGTTAAATTCAATTAGTACAAAAAGTTAGCTCAACTTTTCAATCACTAAATTCGGATGATTTATCAGTGGTTTATTCGGTCGTCTCTTAAAACAACTTCAAATAAACAAATCATAAAAGCTTTAAATGTGCATTAGAAATTAGTTAGTATATCGTATATATGATGTACTAAAAATAAAACTCCAATGTCGGAAATTAAAAAAAAAAAAGACAATTTGAAAATTAATCTCAATTCTATGCACTATACTATGTATAAAAAAATACAAGAAATGAAGTGTATTAAATTTTATCCGACTTCAGATGATATTGTTTTTCAAGATATATCGACGTTTTAGCTAAGAAACTTTAAATATTATAACTGCAATAGACCAGTGGTGATCCCAGGGGGTGGACACCCTGGCTTTTGTCATATTATTTATTTTTTTAAGTTACTCTGGAATTTTATTGATTAGATTAATTATTAAATAATAGATTTGGTAACAATTTAGTGTTGATAACTCAACGAATTCGATGTATAAATAAAATCAATATTAAGGCTAATGACCATGAGCGTAGGTAGGGCGGTTGGATGTTCAAACACCCCTCGAAATTAAAGATAAACTGAACAAATAATTCATATTTAATTTTAATGTTTTATAATGAAAATGAATATTCAGAATTTTGATCAACAATTAAAATTTTTGCTAAAGGCTTTTCATTATTAATTTGTACATTTTATCAAAATTTAATTTTCAATTTTTTAAGTTTAGAAGAATCATTATTTAACTAAATTGGTTAATTTTAGTAATCATAATAATAATAAAAAAAATTGTAGAGGTGATTAACATTACTTCGCTTAATTTATATAAACTAACACATAAAAATGTCAGATATTCTTTAAGTTTATATTTTAGAAGACAAATTGAAAAACAATTTTTTTTTTTATATGAGTAAGACAAATATTAAGTATTTTTGAGGTCATATTCAAGATTGACTAAATATAATTTTAACGTTTTGAAAACTTTAAGCATTGATATTGTTAATAGTATTATTAATTAAATTTTATCCAATATAAATACAATTTACTTATTTACCCAATGTTATAATTTTAGCTAAATTTTGTTTGACATAGTTTTTTTTTTAACAATTCAGTCCATTAACATCAAATTTGGTTTATCACTGATCAAACGTTATAATCAGTATTGGTCAAAAGTAAAAATTATATTATGATGCAATAAAAATGAGTTCTATTTAATATGCACAATACCTAGGATATAAAATAATTTCAATTTTGTAATTTACAAATATGCAACAGTACTGTATGTATCATTCTTATCTTCAATTTTGATATACTTAATGAAAAATTCACACATTTAACTTAAAATATTTATTAGAAGCAACTTAAGCAATTATAACGATTATGACTATCAACTATAATTGATATTTAAACTATCAATAGTTTATATTTAAGTATGCTACTAAATGGAAAACATTTCTAGACTATAAATTTACACGGGAATTTAATTATTTTTAGAAAATAATTACTTATTAGACCAGATTTGTCACATCTCAAATTAGTGTCAAACACCTTCCATGTTATTCTAAAATACCCTTAAAAATTACTATTAAATGAAAATGTAAATAGTAAATTAACTTGTACTCTTATAAAACGATAACATAAAAAATAATTGTTATTGTATAGTTGTTAGAAGTATTAATGTATAGTTAGTATATTGGAATAGTTATCAATGACAGGCACTCAAAGAATAACGTACATTTACTTAAATAACATAAATAAAAAAAAATCTGGAAATCTAAGTAGTTCTTAAAATATATAGATAAGTAAGACAATTACATCAAATATTAATTGCTAACTTTAGGTAACTAGTATCTTTTTGTATGCAATATAAAATCATAAGCTGGTATCTTACTGAAAATTAAATTGTTTAAAAAAAAGTATATACTTTTATCACTAAAAAATATTTAAATTACATTCAGTCTATACATGTTAATTAAATTGAGCAGATGTTCCTAGTTTTATCCATTTTTACTTTTAAAAACCACAGTATTATTTTAAATATTTACTGAGTATTATTTCCACATTCAATTATTTATTTGTGTGTCTAATAATACAAAGACCTGAAAAATTTAGTAGCTTGAAGATATGATATAGACGATTGAATTTTGTATAAGACAACTTTACATAGAATGCATTAATCTTAATCTTCTTTATCAAATATCAACGTTTAATGAAACAATATAAATTTAAGTGACATTTAAAAGTTTTTATAATAACTAAAATGCCATTCTGTAAATTAATTTTCAATAGAAATTTAAGGAATTATCATTCAACACATGAAGAAAACGTATGACAAAAATCCAGGAATTTTATTTCTAATGGTGCAAAAAGGAATGGGGAGAAGAAAATTCAACGATATTTTCACAAATAAATCAGGCGAAGTGAACAATAATAGGCATTTAAACTGAATGAGAAATGTTGATGCACACACTAGAGCACAAATTATGTTCGATTGATGTAAAAATTACACATACAAAATCATTTAAATTAAACCGTATTATTATGTGAACAAAAATTCGGAAGAATGAGATAATGACAATAGTAGAAATTAGGCAGTTGTTGCCGGTTTTACTTCTTCAAGGTTAGGCATGGTTTCTTCGCTCTTCTCTTTACCTTTGCCCTGTATAATGATAAATAAATTAAAAATAATAACATTTCATAAAAATATTGTAACTTTTTAATTTATTAAAAAAAAAAAAATTGAATTTATTAATTACCGCAGTTTCATTCTCAATGTCATCAAGTTCAGGCATTTCTTCGTCATCTGAATCCTCATCAGAAGGTTCATTATAATCTCCTAATCCTCCAAATTTAGGACCACCGCCGCCTCCACCCATCATACTAAGCATCTAGTTTATAAAAATGAATAAATATTTTAAACCTACTAAGATATGATTAAAACATTATAAACATACATCATCAATGTTTCCATCTCCACCGATTCCACCAGCGCCTGATCCAGTCTCATCGTCTGAATCATCTTCATCTTTCCATTTCTTGAAGTCAACTTTTAACCAGTGATATTTCTTTTTCTCTTTGGTTAAATGTGGCCAATATTTGGTGTCAGTAGATGGCTTTTGCAAAACCAGTTCAATGTTTCTACCACTAACTGTTGTTTTGCTATTCTTTTATATTAAAAATACAATTAAATTAATACAGAAACTAATAGATAGGCAATATTAAATTAATTTGTTTAATTTACTTCAGGTTCTATTGGTGCATACAATGGTATGGTGATTTCATACAGATTTTTAACTTCAAAGCCAGCAATACTACGGAAAATTATTTGTTCAGGTTCGATTTTAATATCTGGATTTACGCTATCTTCTACGCAAATAGTAACATATATCACATTATTACGTTGTGCCCAAACGACTGGAGGAATCATAGTCCTGAAAAAATAAAAAAAAGGTAAATTATTATAATTAACAATTATTGGTTAAATTTAAAATAACTAATCTAAAATATGAAACAGTGTGATATTTAAATACTAATGTGTTGAGCAATAAAAACATATCTTATTTATAATAGGAGTTATCACCATTTAAAAAAAAATAAATATTTAAATTAAGATTTAATTTTTCAAATGTAATAACAAAAGTAGAGATATCACTTTAACTGTTTTTTTTTCTAAAAGCAATATGATACATGTGTTAAATTTAATACATAGACATGTTATTCTTTATCTAAATATATTGTTGAATTATGTTTAAAATATTAATATTATTTAAAGATTATTACAAAGGTGTAAATAATAATTGATAAGCTAGTCCACTAAGTGGAATACCTTAATAACCTTAAGTCTTAAGGTTTATTATAGTTACAATCCACACTTAAATGTCCTCTTGAACTATCCAAATTACATTATTATAATTATATTAAGAATCTAAAAAAGAATTTATTTATTTTTGGTATGTTTTAATACAATGCAGTGAATATAAATAATTAGGGCAGTATTGGGCAATAAATTAAAAAAATTAAAAGGTACTTTAATGTTTTCCCAACTACCTTCAGTTTAATTTTTTTATTTAGACTATACATGTTTACAATTGTCGTCATTCATCATTTAAAGCAGTGGTTTTCAACCGGTATGCTGCGATAAATCTATTAATGGTGTTAATTTTGTATATATATATATGCTTCATGTATTATATGAATTGGTGAGCCACAAAAATTTTGTAGAAGAATAAGTGTGCTACATTGTTAAAAAGGTTGAAAACCACTGATTTAAAGTCTTACCTGGCAAAGTTTATTTAGAAACACAATTTAGCTAATGGAGATTCATTCGATAATGTATAAAAAGACATTTCAAAAAATTTGTGACCAAAATTAGAATTTTAGACTATAGTAGGTTAGTATGATTCAACTCTCCACGCTTGTGATTTTTATCTATATATTTAAATAATATAACCTGTGATAATTTTATGTTTTTATATGTTATAGATTCTCTACTTCTGTGATAATAAACGTTATACTATTATACATTATACTTATATAAATGACAAATTCATGTTGGTCAAGACTTTGAGGAGCTAGTTGAGGGATCAAAATAATGAAATTCAGACTTGTGATATTCAAGATAACAGAAAAGTACTTATTAAAAATTTCCTAATAGCAATTTAAATAAAATCCAAAAAAATGTAATTTATAAGCTAGTTAGGTTTCTATAAAAATGTATGTTTTTATTTGTTATAAAGTACATTCTTAACAATTCAATAATGTATTTTTAACAACAGTAACATTTTCTCAATATCACAAGCAATGCCTTTATTATATCCAAAGTCAGTTTAAAACTGTTCAGTAAAAATATTAAACAATAAACAATAAGCCAATTTTGTTATAAAAATACAAATTATTTGATTAAATAACTGAAATTATGTTTAAGAAAATATTTTTATTAATTGCAGTACTTAACTATAATATTGTTTAGTTAATAACTAAGTTAGGCCAGATATAAGTATCTACTTATAGGCCAAGAACTTGAAAAATCAAACATGACTTTGACCATAAACATGTATTCAAAGTATAACACGAATGATTTTATACTAATTAATGTTTAGTAAAGTGATTATCAAAACCAAAGCAGTACCTCAATACATTTCAAATCTATCACAATTCAAATATCAAATAACAAAAAAAAGTTTCTTCTTGTATCGCATCCATACACCTAGGAACTTAATATTGATTTATTAATACTAAGGTTTCTAATAACATGTTGTCATTTAATAACACATTGTATATTGATCAATATATCTACCTAGGTTTTAGAATGTTTTTAGTACTATATAGTAAAGATTAATATATCATACATTACAGTTAAAAATTAAGTATATTTAAATTTGTCATAAAACATCAGCTATTAATTGTGCACTCATGAAATTTGATACTATTATCCTGAGCAATATTACATTATGAGTTGACTGATTTGAAAAAAATCACAGTTTGTTATAATTGTACAGTCAGAAAAACAAATAAAATTTAAAAAAAACTCCGTCATCCTGTAATTGTTGCCGGATGCTCATCATACTTATAACATTTTTCGTTTTCTTTTGTTCCCATAGGGCATTGGCGAGCGTAGATTATGATGGGAAGGGGTGACAGGGATGGTGGGGAGGAGTGGAAGGTGTATCACGTTTGATCGATAAAATACATTAAGTCAAATTCAAGAGATAAAAATGATCAACCGTCAACGAATAAACTATCCACTGTATCACATAATCGGGAAACAGTACTATAAGATATTATCGATGCACATGCTGCCGGATCACCGAGGAACAGGCGTCATTCTGCTAAGACGATTTTTTCGAAAACAAATGTTGAAAGGATTAAGCCTTAAATAAATTGGAAAGATACTGACCAGAACAATAGATCATCCGTCTGAACTTGCAATAAACCAGACGTTAAGATGTGGGAACACTGGAAATGTTGGAAAACCGAAAATGACACACACGTGTGCGCGATGAGCCGACATACGAGTATGAAATAGTGACACTACGAATAGAAATGGCGGTTGTCACCGCATCCCGTTGACAGCTCCCCCATTATAAAAGCCTAACTCGATCTCATAAAAATAGTTTCACGACCAACGATTGTTCGCCGTTCAGACCCAACATGGCGTTATCCCGACGTATGCGAGAGACTATAAAAAAATTATTCACTTACAGTTGATGCATATTGTTGATGATGCGCGTCGAGTGTATAATTTGAGTTGTAATGGATTGCTGCCAAACGGTGCAAATAATGAAAAGCTAACTCTGAGTACGCGGGAAACGTAAAATTTGCAAGCAAATCACCGGCGAAATGTACAGTTCGGCGATCAGAAAATAACAAGTAGCTACTAACCACTCTAGGCAACCGTAGAATGAAATGTAAAACGTCCTGTTTGTCGGTGAAGTGGGTTGGAGAGGGCTGACTGAACAGTGAGTAACAATATCGGTCGATGGAAGAAACTACATTCGTTGCGCATCATGGAGGAAAAAAATGATGACGCGAGCCATTGACAACCGCGGTTGACTAAATTTTATTATTCTTCAGTATTCACATCTATTATAATATTAATTATTATTGTTAATATGATCACCAGATCACTTACTTGATACCAATTTAGTATTTATTATTAATTTTATCAAAAAACATTTTATGCTCCTCTAGACCTTTATTCTAAACTTATTAATAAGCAAACCAGTTACAGCAACATTTATAAATATTATCAAGCAGGGCATCCATAGTTTCAGTCAAAAACTAAATTTTCGTTTATACAAAATTTATGTTCTTCCAAAATTATCGTTTAAGATTTAAGAACTACTAGTCAATAGTCATAATACTCATAATATTCTAGTTGTATGTAACTTAGATAATCATTGTTTTATGATATTCTAAATATTATATTTTCAAAAATAGTACGTTTTCATCCATAGTGTAGTTAAATTATAGTTTATGGAGAACATTAAATAATAAATATGTTAACTATTCTTGTACCAGCGTCAAATAAATAATTACACAAGAATTATATTAATCCCACTTTATTTACTTAACGAAAAGAAAACATTACACAAAGTTATGACACAATATTCGGTTCGGCTTACAGGCACTCCTAGCATCCCATGCAGGCCACCAACTAACTGACTTGTCTTACAAGTCGTAGATACATTTACACATATCATAGGGGGGAGGGTAGAGCTTATCTTAGAGACGTTTACATATTATATTAAGCTATGGTACCTTGTCTTAACAAATAATTTTAAATTATTACTAGAAAATTTCAAGCAACTATTCTGCGAATCGCATTCTAATATTAGTATATTTTCAAGATTTTTAAATTCTATCAATTATTCAAACGAATTTGTTATATACAAATAAATAGTTCTAAATTAAATATAGGTAATATACCTAACCAATAAATATATATTTATTTAAAACTGTTTATAAATATATTATTTATCAACTGCAATACGAAAACTATTATCTTTGTGGCTATGTAGAATTATTCAGGGGTAACATAGAGGGGAGGGGGTGCATTCGCATCAACATTTTTTAAAACACTTTCTTTGCAGGCTTGTCAAAAATAAAATGTAAGCACCGATATACTTCATTTTTTTAAACCAGATTAATAGTCATACTATTGTTTTATGATATTAAATATTTTTATTTTTATAACTCCATAATAGTTTATTAATAAATTTAAATGTTGTTAAATTAAAATAGTAAGTGGACAAATATAGAAATATGAGTAAAGTGGATTGTATATTGTGCCATTAGATATAAGCAAATATACTCATAAATACATTTCCAGTTTTATTTAACTAGTTATATTATGTATTTCGAGTGTAGGGCGAAAAATCCTATAATTAGATTAGTTAAGGTTAGGTATTTTATTATTAAAATACTTATATCCATACATTTTTTTTGCTAATTATAAATACCAATAGTAATTACAAAATAAATACGTTAGAAGCATTAATAATTTGATAAAAATTGATACAATAGTAATATTTTCATACTATTATGACGTAATCTATTGAATTATTACACAAATATTCAATATTTTTAAAATTCTACAGAATCGATACCTAAGTCCAGTTATGTAGATAACCCTGGAGTCTGGAAAGGCAATTTAGAGGCAACCATGGTAGTTATGAAAATTAATGTTGAAGGAAAAAGAAAGTGAAGAAAATTGAATAAAAAGTGGTTAGATAGAATAAAAAAAATTACATGAAAATAATTGGTGTAAATAAAGGACAGATGAGCACTTTAGAAATGTAGATTGTAGGATAATGGCTAACGGCTAACTTCATAAAGTTGTCAGAGAAGGCAAAGAAGAAGACAGAGGAAGTAATCCTCACTTATCATAGTTAAAAAATAAGTAAAAGGTGTTCATGATTGTGGCTTTGTAACGATTTTAAACGGCCTGCGAACATTTTGACACCAATAATAAAAAACTGAAATGATACCCCCCCCCAGAATTATTAAAAACAATACCTATAGTATAATAACTGTTTTCATATTTAATTATTACATCTAGACAGACATAAATGCATTATATGAAATGAAATCAATAGATAAAAAAAAAAAACGATTTTTGGGGGTTAACAACTAACGATAAACGTCTGCTCACAAAGTGGCTCCTGGATAATTTTATTTTTTAAGTAGTTCTCAAAATAACATAGGTATTAAAATAACCCACTCGATACATATAATTTACAATGTAACAGAATGGTATACCTATCACCCTTTTTTAAATTGTCTTGTATATTCTATAATGCAGATAGATTTTGTTTGGAATTTGACTAGCTATAATATTTTTTTAATAGCAATAATTTAAATACCAGTATTCATTAGTAGTATAGTAGTACAACAAGTAGTATTAAATTATAATATATATACGTGTGTAAGTCATATTTAGATTATTTAGATTTATGATAATTGATATACAGTCTTAATTTACGTTCATTTGCATATTTTATGTACTCGTATGTATTGCAGGTTTATATGTAAATATTAAAAAAACATTAAAGAAAATATATTATACTACTCACATAATATTGTATCTACTAACTTACAGGTAAATAATTAATCGACTTTATTGGTTACAATGCCACATGGTTAGGTTAGGTAGCTAATATCCTCAATGTTGATATTTTTTTTTTGGTTTTTGGAACCTATTTTTGATGATAAAAATTATGATGAACACTTAATACTTATATCTCTTACTATAATATATCATACTGTCTATACCTACATGTTCATATATTTTATTATAAAGGCATTTATTTGCATTTATGTGGATTTTATATAATACTGGTAATTTAAGAAAAATTATATAAATTAGTATGTATTATAATTTGTAATATTGTAATAGATAAAATTCCATGGTTACCATACGCACTTACTCACTGGATCTATTATCTTTTGTAAAATAAAGTAATACTAACCCTATAAATATATATTATAAGCACTATATTATCTAAGATTGGGAAGAATAGGAACTACCTAAAAAATTGTTATGCTAATTATTTTACATCTGAGTGGTGAATCCTCATCGGTTATAAGAAGGAGTGAGACAATGAGTTGTTTTATATAAATGGAAATGCACTCTAGTTTTATTGCTATGGTGATTTCCTGTCGCCTGTTGAAATTTGGATGAATATGCCATTTTATAATAATTTTTTTTTAAGTATACTATTTTGGTTGTTGTGAAATTTGATTATTGTTAAAATAAAGTATAATACATATTATTATAATAACAATTAATGCAAATGGTATGGTAGCGTTCATTTATTACTTGTAGGTATTTTTTTTTATATAATATACTTAGCATATTTCTTTAGTATATATAAGTCTAATTTAACATGTCAGAATATCTTTTTTTCATGGTAAAATAAATTAAGTAATGACATAAAATCTATTACGTGTTTGCTTTCTTTGTTAAAAAAAAACTACGTGACATATATGTTGAATAATAAATTAATTAAAATGGCCACAATTTTTAAAAGTTAAAAACAATTTAAATTATGAATTTATATTTTTCTCGGATCTAATTTATGAGTTTTTACGTTACCTACTTTATTTTTGTTTAGCATGTAAAAATAAAACAATGTGTCAATATATAAGTATATTATACCTGTATGAATATTGTATATTATATATATAATTTAAAATCTATGTATATTTTTACGTGTGATGAATGCAATGAACGTGATATTGAATAAAAATATATGAGCTCATTCATGGAGTAATATACTTAAATATTACACTGTACATTTTCTAATGCATTATTACAGTACTTATTTAAAGTTCTCTTCTTTTCATTAAAAATATAATTCATATTATTGTATTATATTAGCGTACTTATGCTATTATATTGATTTGTAAATGCACCTGAAGATTTACTTATCTACACATTATAACATTTATTTAATTGAAAGTAACAAATTAATAATAATTGCACTTATAGAGTAGATAATCGTTAACAAGCTAAAAATTTAACGTTTTATGTCCCCGAGATGTCGACTATTATTACAAATAAATGGAGTTGGGGTAATTTTGTAAAAAGTAAGAATATATTTTTGTTATTTTTACAATAAACTATTTTAGATGTTTTATTTACATATTAAGGGATAGTAATTTTTTTATGATTTACCTTGTCTTTGGATTAAACATTAAATATTAATATTATATTTTCAAATTCAGTAGGTACTTCATTCTTTAATATTCTCAGTTATTTTAAAAATGTACATGTATAACGATAATTTTAAATATTTTATAATTATCAATATATTTAAAAATTATTTTTAACCAATATCAAATTAAAATAATACGAGTATATAATTTTGAATGCATTATTGTACTTAAATATTTTTGAACATAATAAGACTTACCATTCATAAACTTAGATTTGCTGATATACGTATAACATCAGTACACTGGTTTAGAATTTTTAGATGTTTTTTGTCTCACACATCCAGACAAGTCTAGTATACGTGATGATTCTATGACATGGACTCATCGTTTATGCGCGCAAATACTTACGTATGGAGAGATACCAAATCATGTAGCATTTATAATGGACGGTAATAATAGACGTTATGGTAAGAAAAATTTTATTTCCACGCAAGAAAGCTATGCAAAAGGGTGAGTTAAAATTGTATCAAAAATATTTAAAAAATATTTAATTATAACCTTTGAGTAATATTTAATTTTTATCATAAAAAATCGTAATAAATCCTTATTAGGTATTTAATTATTTTACTACCAATAACTATATTATATTTGTTTAAAATTTTAACATAACATCAAAATAGGGTAAATATATTTATTTTAATTTTAGTAAGATTACTCATATAACTAAATATTTTACATACCTACCTACACAATTGAATAATTTGTATTTAGAAGTAAAATCTAAGTTATATTATGTGCAAATTTAAATTATTATAGGTTTTACTTATATGGATACTTGAGTATAATAAATTTAGTGAGTTTGAGGTAGGTATGTAGGTTTTAGCTGTAGGTAGTCACTAGTCGGTAGGTTTAAACGTATCAGAATATGAGTATATCATTCCGGATATTCAATCATTAGAGTATGGATTTATATATCTTAAAAACAAGAAATCCCTTTAAAAATACTATTTAATGAAGGTATTTATAAAACAAAACTTATAAAAATGCCTTTAATTTTTTTTTAAATGTGATGTTCAATAAAAAAAATCAAACAAAAATATATGTCCCTACTATTTAAATTAATATAGTTTAGCGTTATCTGTGATTGATAAAAGTCGTAAATAAAATGACCTACATAATAAACATATAATATATATATATTATACTCGAGTAATGGTATATAATATATTTGCCATATTATTTATTTATTATTTATAGGTTTGACAAATTATTTGAAACAATACAATGGTGCTTAGATTTAGGTATAAAAGAAGTTACTGTGTACGCATTCAGCTTGGATACCTTTAAGAGAACACAAGAAGAAATCGATGCATTGTTTGAGGAAATAAAAATATTTTTAGAAAGGTATAGAGTGATTGATGAAATACCAATTTTTATTATTAACTTGGTAAAGATCTAATAGGTCCCTAATTAAGAAGGACCCAATCATAAATTTAATTGTCTAGCATGAAAATCGAAAATAGTGTACATCATTTAACAATTACTATAAGTATCTACTATCTATATAGGTAGTAAGTACTGTAGTGTGTATTTGTCTATAATAGCAGGAAAAATGTTATTTAAAAACTTCAATCTTGATGTATTTTCTATACCTAAATGATTCATCTTTTCACCAAATCAAATTTAACATTGTAAAAAAGATTGAGTTTATTATAATACCACACTATTATGTGTAATTTATTATGATCAAATAATTTAAAATTTTGTGGATGCCTCTATAAGTTATATTATCTCTTTACTTAGGTAACTACCTATAGTGTCTATGTAATAATAATTTATATTTAACTAATTTTAATGAGGTCAATAGTTAATTTAAATATTATGATTATAATTTTGTTTTAGAGATAGATTGAATGAACTAGGTGTATGTACAACATTTTTTGGTAACATCAAAACACTACCAGATGATTTGGTTAAGGCATTAGAAAAATCAAAGCTTATAACAAAACAAAACAATAAGATATCATTAAATATTGCATTTTCTTATACTGGTAATTTGAAAGAACTACATATAAGTTTTAAATAAAATACTTGATTACCTATGTAATTAGGTAAAATATAATATACATTTAATTTATAATTTATATTATCTAATATTTATTATTTTAATGATTTAAATTTTAGATAGTATTTTTAACAGTTATCACAGTACTTATGTTCAATTAAATATTGTTTATTAATAAATATTATTATTTTAATATTCGTTGTAGTTATAATTTTCAAACTTATTAGTTAGGTATAATAAAAGACTAATTACCTACTAATAAACATTATTTTTACATTTCTCCTGAATTTTATGTAATTTGTGATTGAATAATGGATTGAATCATATTAAAAATATTTTATTATTATATTCATTATTAAATAGTAACTTAATCAACAATAAAACAAATAAACCAATAAATTAAAAATTACTTTTTTATGTACATTGTGTAAAAGTATAAAACTATAGGTAATACATTTAAAAAACATTTAAACTATTTTTTTTTCAGGACATGATGAATTAACAAATGCATTTAATCAAATATCTAATGGTATTAAAAATAATGATTTGGAGGAATCAGATTTATCAGTTGAAATATTAGATAATTGTATGTATACTTATCCGTCCACACCACTTGATTTATTAATACGCACATCTGGTGAGACTACACTGAGTGATTTCATGTTATGGCAGGTAAATTTATAGTTCTTGAAAATATGTTTTATTTAAGGAAATTGCAGTTTTATCTTAATTTTTTTTAAATATATTTTTTTTTTTTAGTGTGCTTACAGTTACATTTATTTTACTCCAGTCTTATGGCCAGAATTTACTGCATGGGAGTTAATGATTGCTATTTTCATGTATCAAAGAAATATTAGAGCATTTATACGTTATAAATTACCTACTAAAAAATTGAGTTCAAGGGCTGAAAAATTTGTTGAAAATGTACATCAAAACTGGTTAAATAATCTTTATACAATTGCGTGATAATATTAAAATTTAATTGATTTTATTTTTAGTGTTAATAAAATTAAATATATTTACATAACAAAATTTATCTATGTATTCATTTATGATACATTGTGTATATTTAGAATGCTATGTATAAATATAATTTGCATATATGCATGAGAAAGTTATACAACATTTTAATTTTTAAGGTTTATTTATTTTTATTTTTTGTATACATTTTGGTGTTAAATAATTCATTACTTATTTTGCTGTTCAAATTTTGCTGCCCGGCAACTTTAAGGCCATTAGCTATGGATAGGAGCAGTAGGTGTTTTTGTGTAAGGTTTGTTCGTAAAGTTTGGTTAATACGGTTGGAACACGTGTGTGTACGTATGTGTGCCATAAATTCGTCACTAAGAACTCGGGGGTATCCATCTGAGAGCAAGCGACACCGGCCAATGCTTGAGACCTCAGAACACATTATTAGCGACTGAAGCCAATCACCGCCCCACACCAGGCCACAGTCACAATTCTTATTAGTTATTTCGTTAAATATTCTTTAATATACAAACAGTCGTTTTTTCTGAAAACAGTTTGTGAATACCTATGGTTGTAAAATTATTCTTAATACAAATTAGCTAATTTCTTTGAAATTTATAAAATATTTTAGTTAATTTTTATTTGATTTTGTTTGCCTTTCTTCATATTTTAAATGCTTTATTATTAACATTAGTACAAAGGATATAGTCTATAAATTACCTACTAATCTAAAACCTTTATTAGCATCGGATATGAATCATTACGTCGATACGTAATTACGTATAAATACGGATCAAATTCTTTTTTTTGAAAATCTTGATTGACATAATGTCATGAATCGTGATGATATAATTACCGTAATCTGTAGGCATCAAGACACCAGGATATGATGTAGACTGTAAAGAACCAGAGAAGTTACTAATTAGTAAACAATTTCTATATTGTGCATTAAAATAAACAATAAACATATTTTTATATTTAAATTTTTATTACTTATTATTACTCATTAGTCATTATAATTTATGAGTGGATAAAGAAAAAAATAAAGATAAACTCTCAGAACTGCATTGTGTACACACATTATTATTTATTATTAAAAAATTATGTATAATATAAACTATTCGCACTACCTATTCAGTTTACTTTATAACATTGTAATGACTATAGTACAAAGAATTAATGCTGTATGTATTACCTATACTATTTAGCATATATTGTCACATAAAACTGAACCTATGTAGTTTATATACGAATACCTACCTAAACATGTAATTTATGGATGGTATTATGTTGAATTTTAATAAAAAATTAATATAGTGTTTTAATAAAGTGCACAATAAAACAGTAAATTGATGAAATACTTGACATTTTTTTTTATTCTTTATTTTGATGTTAAGACATGAGCACACTTGATGTGATTGTAAATACATATAATAAGTATCAACATAATGTGGAAAAGTATCTAGTAGTTACTTAATATTCACAAACAATAATTTAATCAGAATAACATTAAATATTATAATAAAAATACATTTCATTAACTAACTATAGGTAACAGTGAAAATAACTTTTTAAGAGTTAATTTCAATTTTCAACATTAATTTTAATAAACTTTTAAAATAAATATACATATAATTTAAGTATTGAAGTTAATTACATTAAATTAAAAATTGTATAGTTGTAAGATTTGTCTGAACTCTGAGGGTATGGGTTAAGATTAAACAATATTGTATTAAGGGCTTTTCCTTTTGTTTTTGTAGGATTTGTTACAGTTACTTCACCCAGCATTTGATTTTGTTGGCCATTGGTGTGTTGATGTACTGATTAGACCAACTTGGATATTGACAGCAGCACACAACATCAGAAAGTGAGTAATTATTTATAATGCTGTTGACAACTGTGCGTAAAATATTTATATTGAAAATTCAATTTTGATTACAAGTGAAAAGTTCAGCTTACCATTGGCAGCTCTTTGGACAGCTGTGCTAGGCGACTGGAATAGAGATGTAAAAGATTGAAGAGCACACGGGGAAGCATTTACCAATTAATAAAGTGGTCATTCATAACAAGTTTAACAATTACCAAAATTACATGGGTTAATTATGAAAAAAATTCTAAGACAATAATTGAATTTCACTGGTACTAACAATAGAATTTCACAGCATTTATGAAACTATCTAGGCCAACAAATATCACTAACACAAACGTATGGTGTTTGTATTTGCCATCATCAATAAATAACATGCCAATTCCAAAGGTATGTGTCACAACTGGATGAGCTAAGTTAAACCAAATGGGCCTCTGTCGGATACATTGCAGCAAATTAAAGCGCCTGTGCACAACACATCTGTCTATAGAAAAAAATATGAACCAGCAGTTCATATAAATGATGGCCATTTGTGTGCTGGCAGAATGGATGGAAAAGGTACGTTGAACAAATTCTAACATATATCAGTTGTACAGCTTAAGGTAACCAATTAAAACAATGTGGTCATTAAACAAATTGCAGGGAGATTCAGGAGAGCCATTGCAATGTTCAGATCCAAATGGTCGATGGTTCTTGGCCAGTCTCACATCGTTTGGTTAGGGGTGTGCCAGACCAGGATATCCAGACGTATATACAAAACTTTTATTTAATTTACCATGGATACTTAAACAAATAAAAATTCACACAAATCAATAATTTTAAAAAACTTAAAAAATTATAAGTAAATAACAATAAAATAAAAATTTAAATGTACATAAAAAATGTTAGAGAATAGTTAAAAGTGAAAATAAATTATGTGATCAGTCATAGTTTAACCTGTCGTCCACACAAACGGTTCTAACCGTTCGTCTGGAGGTAATTTATTATTTAACAGTTGTACAGAGTCTAGTGTCTTGTTTAATAACAGATGACAAGAGTTCAGTTGTTTATTCATGTCGTCGATACATTTGAATTGTTCGTTGATTTTAGCATATTGTTTATATGACGCTACATATAAATTTAACACTTGTGTGGTTTCATTGTCAAGCTGCAAAGAATCAAATTTGATTATTACTTAGATATTAACAGTTTAATAGTTTTAATCTAATAATAATAGCAGTTATTGCATGGCTTAAGTTTTAGATAGATAGTATGTACCTCCAAAATTTGTTTATTGATCAAACTTTGATCTGCAGTCACTGCTTTGGCACAACGGCTCATGTAGGCCTGATAAAGTAGACATAGTCTATAAAATGCATTAGCATCAATTCTCTCTAATGCTTCACGATCTCTGGCTGCTGGCAAAGATACAGTGCCTCGTATTATTGGCAAAAACGATGGTACTAGCTAAAATCATAAAATCCACACTTTATTTTTATACACACAGTAAATTTATGAAATAATAGTAATTAGTTAAAAGTATCAAAGGAGCTACTAGTCATTTGTTATTGGATACAATTAAAAATTAAAAATAATAGAAATGAACACTTATATGAAACTATATGAGATATTTAAGTACTTTAATAAAATAAACAAAACTACATAATATTATATAATATGTTCTCTAATACAGTGGATTCCGCTTAATATGGGTAACCGCTTATTGTGGGCAAACATGTCTGGTCCCAATACAAATGTATATTAACAATGTTAAATAAAACCGCGTAATATGGACACTCGATTTGGTTTATGTGGGCAATTTTTTTTTATCATAGCATTAGAATATACACATAAGTATTTAAAAACAACTAATTTAATTGGGTTTTGTCATATCTATGAGATTGTGTTTATCGAAAATAATAAAAATCATTACCATTCAAACAAACAAAATTTCGCCAAAGAGAGGCAAAAAAGTGCATTGATTTCTTGCAGAAGTTCTTCATGCAAGAGGGAAACGAAAATAGTCCGTCTGATAAACTTGAAGTGTGTGCCTATTTTATCAACCAGATTCATATTAAACAGCTTAGACAACGAAAAATTACGTTTTGTATACCTTCTACATCCAAAGATTAATTTTATTTAATATAATATATGTATTTAGTTTTATTTATATACCTAGTAATTATTTAAAATTGTTTTCAATTATATGATAATACAAATATATTTTTTTATTATAATTTTTTTTTTTTTTTTTATATTGTACATTTTGGTTTAATTTTATTTGTGATATAAAAGACAATAATAAAATATTATTAAGTAAATTAAACTTACCTACCAAATTAAAAATTAATATTTTTATTTTAAATTTGTGTAATCTAAGTATATACGTATTAAATGTCTGTTTATTACTAATTCAATTAATTTAATTTTTTCTGAAACAGCTTTATGTAACTACAGAAAACATAACTATTGTTTATATCAGACATAAATAGATAAGTATAAAGTGTAAACCAAATTAGTAGAATTAATACATATATTTAAATTACACTGCTTTTTTTTCATGATGACACAATTTAATCAGGACTAAAACGAGAAAAAAATTCACCTTCATTCGATATAAATCTTCATCCATGTCTTGGTTTTCTTGAACAGCTGCTCTGACCACCACGATGTTGTGTTTAGGTGTGGACTTTGGGGTTTTCTTCACCGATCGTTGGGGTTCCACCTGCATTGATCGACCTCGGCTCATGATGCTGGGTTTCTTTGGAGAATCTAGAAATGGTTTTAGTGTTGTTCATCTAACGTTTATTATAGTTAACTAATTGCACCTCCAATTGGTCGGTTGACCGTGTATGATATGTATGGTAAGTCAACATCACTGCACACACTGTGGCCAGGTGATGTGTTTGCGCTAGCTGCCTTGCTCTGTTGACCATCTTGCGAATTCCTTGGCCAAGAACTCTCGGGCACCGATTTGCCCCTCTTAAGTTTTGTATTTTTCGCACCCGAATCAGTAGCATTAGATTGCGAACTCTGTTCTGAGCCCATTGTCGAATGCGGACGGATCTCTAGTCTACAACCGCAACGAGCAGGCGATTGACCAACGACTTATTATAATTATTAAATAAGCAATAATAAATTACCGACAACCGACACAACGAATTAACGACTGTACTTAAAATTCAAAATTAATTTTATTGCAGGACTTCAGAATGCAGATATTACGAAGTTATAAAATCTATCGAGTGATAAATAATTAGTTGATAACAGAACTGTTGTTGTGTGATAAAAATCCTCGTATTTTGGATTGCATATCGAGACGTTTAGGGCGATGCATATAATATAAATACAATTTTATATATGTAGTAGTCTTCTTCTTATAATCTTCTTCTTCTTCTTCTTCTCTTCTCTTCTCTTCTCTTATAATATAAAACGAAGAATAGTTGCTATAAAATACACGGGCCGATAGGTTTAGTGTCTCGACCAATCGAAAAATTAAAATTTTTTCTGTATATATGTTATATATGCGTTATCGCCCGTGCGCCGTTATCGTTATCTCCCGCCGTCGTCGTTATCGGTCGTTATTATCGTTGTTTTTATTATATATCGTTTTTTCAGCTTTTTGCCCGATTTTCCGGCCTTTGGAGACCTCTTTCCGTCGCGTTCTCGAACCTATAGCCCAGAGTGGGTCTTTTTCGTCCCGTCCACGCGTTTTCCGATCACACGTCCCCGAATTCCGTTCGCGGCCGTCTCCGTCACGTCCGGAAAACGCTTACTCGCGGCGCGTTCTCCGGTCGGTCATCGTATCGTCACGTATGTACTACTGTTTTCTTTTTTACGATACGATAAATCATTTATCCGTATCGAATACGCGTCGTTTTGTTTTCGGTGTCTCCACCCTCGAACGCCTCCGCGACCATATCGGTACTGTCTCGACTCTCGACAGCGTACGAAATACGATTTATTATGTGTATAAAAAAGAAACGCGCGTCGGGTTTAACAGATTCTTATTTGTATTATACAAAACATCGCAAAATCGTTGCTCTTCAGTCGTTTTAATGCCTTTAATCGCATACCCTTGGGGCGATATCGTGATATGTGTCTGTGATAATAAACTTAGTACGTCATTAAGACGTGTACGATTAAATAATGTAAACACCGTCTGAATCACTCTAAACGACAATAAATATGCGATTTGCGTTTCGTGACACGCGTCGTAAATGTATCGAAAACGACGTATAATGTGGTAG